TTTCGCGCATCACTTCACTTCACCTCACTTTACATATCACCGAACTCGCGTTACGGATACGTCGCGAATATTTATGTGTCTCGCTCGGGATCGACGCACGTTGTGACACTGCGCAGGCGCACCACGCCGCCGGTGCTCGCCTGCACCACGTGCCAAAATCGCGCTCAGGCTAATCGATCGCATATCGATTTTCGACCGCGACGTCGGGCGCCTCATCGAGCGAGCCATCGAACACACCGTTTTGTTTCGTCAGGCATGACGAGGCGGGCGGGATGTTTGAGATCGCAACAATTCGCATTGCGACGAAGTCGCGTTCGGCTGTAAATGCACGCTTGCAATAAATTTCGGCCTATACTAACATTTCATGAAGTGAAAGTAACTAATGTTCGCGTAAAATCGTCGCATGAAAATTGTCAAGAAAATGTTCGGTATAGCATGGATCTTTCGAGATTAGCTTTCCAGAAACGTTAACATTGTCATCAATAACAAAGTCAAATAACAACGCTAGAACAAAGGAAGGATCCATGCTATACACAAAGCACTCGAAAACAGGCGACGACCCCGTCGGGTCGCCACGCGAAATCGGTGACGTCAGCCCCATGACGCAGGCCTCCGACGGCCAATCACCCTCCCGAAATTCTGGGAAATCTGCAGGGAGGGAGTTTCGCCTCGGAGATGTTAAAAGGACCGTCGCCGCGCCGCGGAAACGATTTCGCTCGCAGATCACCGCTAGTATTCTAATACACCCGCTTTGCTTCACCGCTCATCACCGCTTTTCGCACTTAATTGTTATATCGCCGCTTTCGCCGAGCTAAACTCTGTGCGCGCTCTCGGTATTTTGCTTGAAAGGGAAACTCGTGTAAACAACTGTACATATATTGAACATTATTAAATATATTCGTTTATTTTGCAATTCGATACTTGTGCCTTGTTTTTGTGGTCGTCTCGTTACCTCGCGCTATCTCGCGCAACCGCGTGCTCTCGAACAGTATAAGATATATTTAAAATTTTGTAAATAAAAAATCAGAATGCTTCAAAACATTCTCACACATTCATAAAAAATAATATGTGAGATATTGTAAACATTGAATTGTACCTACAAAATATAAAGTTTTATAATCTGCTACTAGAGAGCAATAGAGAACAATACAATAAAATAAATAAGTAATCAATAAAAATATAATTAATTAATTTTTTATTTTTTCTTAAGCAATTAAGTCAGTCTTAAGTACATAAAAAACAATTATCTTTGATTACATTAAAATAAAATAAAATCATCTTATTATTCGTTACATAAAGGAATAGAATAATTGAATAATTGCTCTTGCAAGTTAACAAACTGACTATATAATCTGAGTTACTTAACAAGAAGTTCCCTTACAAAAAAGTATTACTAGCTGGTTAGTAATAAATACTTATTTTGTGTATTAATAATACTAAAATTAAGTATTTATTAGTACTTGAATCACTGTGATCCAAGTATTGCACAGTATTTTATTACTGGTCAGTAATTTATGAAAGTAGTATTTAATACAGGACGAGTATTGAATACTTAGTATTAAATTTCTGATGAGAAAGCATTTAATACTAGGTGAAAAATACTTGTGTAATAAATACTTGTGTTGAATTACTGATGAGTATTTCAATGTTAGTACTGAAGTACTGAACCAAGGATTCCATGTGTAATAAATCACTGGCCAGTATTTTAATATTAATACTCAAGTACTGAACTGAATATTCCATGTGAAATTAATCACTGACCAGTACTACAATTTGTATAGAAACATTATAATGGGTAATTCCTGATAATATTAAGGAAAAGAGATAAAAGTAAGGCACAAATACATTTTATATGAAGGTATGTACTAATTCGTCGTGATAAAAGTGTACAAGTTTTGAAATAGTACTGAGGATATCATTTTAATATTCAATTCAAAATTTTATTACTCTTTTTAAACTGAAATTGTTTCTTAAGATGATTTTTGAAAAATTATATATTTGCGCTGGTTATGACACATGTAGACTATATATAACACTTACATCAAATTAAGAAGTAGTCTACCACGTAAGGCAGTTGGCTCACGATCCAGAGGTCCCGAGTTCGATCCCACCAAGGTAAGTGTTATTTTAAATACGAGAAAATATTTATAATTATAGACTGCATCTTAAGAAACAAATTTAGTTATAAAATAGTAATAAAATTTCGAAAAAAAATAATTTTTTTTTTATGCCGGGTAAATAACGGAAATCGAAATATTGGTGAGTAATTCAATACTAAGCACCAGTAGTTCTGTGTAGTATTAATCACTACCTATAATATTTATCACTACCAGTATTTTCCCAGTATTTCCCAAATAAATATTGACAGTATTAAATCACTGAGATTTTAAGTATTTAGTCAGTAATACTTTTCTGTAAGGGTTTACATAAAAAATATACTATTACTCCAAAAATAAAACGAAGGATGAGAAAATATAACTGCTAATAGACAAAAGCACAGCTTTTATATACTTGTTAAAAAAAATTAAATAGTCCCTAATTAATCCGTCTTTTTTGTATAAAATGGCAGTTCACATTCCAATATAGTGGAATTTCAGTATGGAATTTTTTTCTAAATAGTGACTTACAGTTTATTGATATTGGTTTATGGTTTATCCAACTGGTAACTTAAAAGAACTGATCGCATATGCGAAATGTGAACAGCTTTTGTTTCAAATAAATTTTGTAAAATATGTTGTAATGGAGTAATTATTTTATCATGTAGGTGTATCTTTTTTTTTTTAAATAGATGAGAGAAGATCCGACAGTAAACGAAAACAAAAAAGTAACGCAGTATCTATAATCTTTTCATCCCACCGATTGAACGGACCCAATTTAAGTCATTTCAATCGTGTTCATTTTTCTTTGATTGCTTGTAGAGAACCAGCGCAAAATTTTTGATTGAATTTGTGTTACATCACTTGACGGAAACTTTTTAACATAGCACCTGAAAAAAATAATAAATCAGAGTTTTTATTTCAAGTATATTACTAGATGAGATTTAATAACTTATTCAAAATTTACATTGAATCGCTGTGAGAATGTTCGTGTCTTGAAGTTTTAATTTTATAGATCCTAAACCTGTATAACTGACAATTCTGGCAAGTAAATTTGAGAATATTCTAGCTAATAATTTGCCTACAGGTAATGTCTCCTCCGTTTTTCCAGTTGGCATCAAAAGAACAAAGTAGTCGATCTGAAACACGTATTTCTCTTAATTAATTACGAGATTATAAATGAAATTGAAAATGTATAATACAGTAACAAATATAAATAAATAAATATATAAATAATAATATAAATAAATAAATAAAAGAACATACTGTTGCAAAAAAATTATCACCGTCTTGTAGAAATTTTTCGAAAGTATGAAAGGCCTCTTCATCTTTGAGAGGTAGATTAGGCAAGTCTTTAGGTTTTGTGGGTACTGGCTCCTCAGGTAACAGAAGTTCCAAATGTGAAGTTTCAAAGGTTGAAGTTCACTTACAGTGTTAAAAATCTATGTTATATGTGAACTATTTTCAATAATGGCAGTAAATTGGAACGCAACCATAAATCCATGCAATGCTATACAGTTGTTTGACTGTATAAAAAATGATATTTTTAATGTTAGAAATTCTGTACCATACTCTACTTACACTCTTATACCGAGGTATAAGATATAAAGCCCGGTGTACATAGCCCAGCGA